CGCTTCCCTGACTTCAGACCTCCCTCCTGATTGGCCCCCCGTCTTTTCTTGTGTGATTGGTTGTCAAACACGCTGGAGTTAGTTTATTAAAAAATACTTGCGTTTCCGTCACGACCCAATCCGTCCGTGAAGCACGGCGAGTACAGGATGACTTCCAGGTAGGCAATACTTTGTTTTTCTTACTTACTGTTTCTTACTGCCTAAATATTTCATATTCTAATAAATGTAAAAAAGCAAAACACTTAAATAGCCTTTGGACCGTTACTGCGACTTCTCTGAGCGCCTCCGATGATGACGTCACCCAATACAATGGAGAGAATGTAAAACGTCTCCATTTCTTCCAGAAAAGTCTTCAATATTTTCTATGGAATTTAGTTCAGCATTCTTTAATGTTTTGACTATATAAATAAGTATTTTCTGTGCCGTTATTACGTCGTCTGGATCTTGTTATTCTGTTCGCTCATGCTCAGGACGGATCGTGCTTACGGGACCAGGGATCGGGTAGAGACACCCCCACTTCTGAAATCAGTTCTGGGTCAAAGGTCATTTTGGAACCACTGTTGTTCAATAACATTGAGAAGTTTAACATAAATTCTGAAAACAATAAACTTTAATGCTTTGTTTTCAGGTAAAATTCTCCAAAATGAAACGCATGAATAAAGAAACTATGGGGGGATTTTTATTCCACTATTGTTGCAAGGAGCAAATTTTGAACATTTGAAAATAGAAGAAGATACAGTCCAAAAATCTAACTTTCAAAAATCTAAAAAATAATGTGAGATTGACTTTGAATTCTACAACAGATTATTAGGGACAGGCTAGAGATTTATTTTTCTTTTAAATACAAGAATAAAGTCATAACATTACAAGAATAAAATCAGAATATTACGACAATAAAGTCCTAAATTTGCAGAAATAAAATTATAAAATTACAAGAAGAAAGTCACAATATATAAAAAATAAAAAAACAACAGCAATCCTCTATAACCAAAGCTCTAACTAGATAAAATAGAACATAAAGCATGAAATATATCCCACTCACCAGAGATGCTGATCATTTATAAACTAAATTCATCCTTTTGTCTTTTTGCAGGAAGTCTTAGTATCTCCATTTATTATCGGCCATTGAGGCCAGAAAAACTTTGAACAAAAACGAATCTATAATGCAGATTATCTCTAGCTTTACTTGGCTGTAAACGTTTAGCTCTAACTGACCAATCAGAGGACAGAAAATGCTGATGTAGGGGCGGGTCCTCTAGCTGGCCCAGTGGAGCAAATCTGAAATCTGATTGGTTGAAGAAAACATTCCTCACTAATATTAAGGTAACATCAGCAGCAGTTCTGCTTCATTCTATCTCTATAGTTCTGCTGCTATAGGCTTAGACTGCTGGAGGACATAGGGACCCCTTTTTCATCATTCTGCTTCATTCTATCTCTATAGTTCTGCTGCTATAGGCTTAGACTGCTGGAGGACATAGGGACCCCTTTTTCATCATTCTGCTTCATTCTATCTCTATAGTTCTGCTGCTATAGGCTTAGACTGCTGGAGGACATAGGGACCCCTTTT